CGGTTCTGCGTCACTGTGCGGAGTTGTGCGGAGGAGATGCGGTTCCTGGCCTGGGCGGCCGCCGTCCTGCTAGCAGGGCCCCTGGTGCTGGGTAAGCAGGAGCGGTAAAGGGCGGGGGTCACCAGGAGCTGGCACCCAGTCAGGCCGACTGGGTCCCAGGCTCCCTGCCCATCTCCTGGCCCCGGCGGGGGCTCCCGGGCCAGCCGCGCTTGGGGCCTGGAGCCGGAGGGTGGGGGGCCTGGAAAGTGGCGCCTCGCCCATCTGGAGGGGGCTGGGCTCCGCACATCGAGCCCCATAGCAGCTCTGTGCTGTCAGGCCGCCGCCTCTGCTGCTGCCAGCTCACATCCGTCCTGTCACCCTCGGCGGGCCCTTCTGGGGACTAGCCACGCAAAGCTGGGACATCAGACCAACTTTGTGCGATGCTGGCGCGTAGATTGTGGCGGTGGGGCCGCAGCTCACGCACCCCAGTGCTCTGGCGTTCGTGCACACACTCTCTAAGGCTGCGGGTTGCCTTCCCTGTGCGCAGGCCTTCGCTTGGAAGATTTCCCCTGGGATGCAGGACCCTTGGCTGTTTTTGGTTTCCCGACAGTCAGGACCATCACTTCTTGGCTGGCTGGCTGTGCTCTGACTGGAAAGTACTTAGAAGATGGAGTCTGAGTGGCTGGATCCGCCCTGATTAAATTGGGAACTTGTTCTTGGGTGCCTTAGCATGAAGAAGCTTGGAAAGAGGGTGTCAGAAATGGAACGAAGGGGGCCTTGACAAGAGACCCGCGTCCCCTTCACTCCTGCGTGTACTAGGGGTAACCTCTCTGCCCACATTGACTTCCACTGATGATTTACTGCTCTCTCTGAAGTTGCTGAAGAACTTTGTCCTTATTCCCCAGTTGTCTGTTTCAGGGGTGCAGGATCATGCTGGTAGGATGATTGTAATGATGAATAACAATCTTAGGGACTCACATTCGAGCGCTGGTGGCGTAGTGGTTATGATTTGGGGTGCTGACTGCAAGGGCAGGATTTGATACCACCAGCTGCTCTGTGGGAGAAAGACAGGACTTTCTACTTCTACTTACTTTCTGTAAATAGTCTTGGAAACTCATGGGCCACACTGTGAGTCAACCTCGACTTGATAGTGGTGGGAAGGGCTCACCTTGAGGGAGAAAGATGAGACGTCTGCTTTCATAAAGAGCTACAGTCTCGGAAACTCTCGTGGACAGTTTTACCCTCTTCTAAAAGGTCACTGTGAGTTGGCATTAGCTCTCTGGTAGTGAAAAGGGCTCATTTTGTGGTAGAAAGATGAGGCTTTCTACTCAAAGATTTACAACCTTGGAAACCCACAGAGGGCTCTTCTAGTCTGCCCTGTTGTGTACTCATGACAGTGAGTTTGAAGGGCTCATTTTAGTACCCTAGGTGCCTGCTGGTTGTTCAATCATGTGGGACATCTGGTCTTACATAGTCAGCACAACATTTCAAAGTAATAGTTGCGAGAGCAACTACTTATAAAAAACCCCGTTTTATTTGGGCATAATCCAGACATTATACAATTCAGTAGTTGAGTCAAATCAAGAAGTGTGGTACACTTTTTCAATTGCTACCATAATCAGTTTTGAAACATTTCCTTCTTGTACTCCTTGCTATTAGCTTCCATTACCCACCAACCTCCTCTGCTGCACCCCTGAGGAACCCTAAATCTAATTATTCTCTCCATAGGTTCACCAATCCAGGGTTTCCTGTACTGGAAAACATAGAAAAATACATAGTAGAGTGAAGAAGGCTATCAACAATAACACAATACAGCAGAAATAAACCAGTTTGAAAGAAAAGAAAATATTAAAAACCAGAGCAAACTCAAAATGTGCTATGACAAAATGTGTCAAATTTTTCTTTTTAATCTACTGTAGTTGTCTCTACAATACTCTATCATAACCATACTGTCTCAGCCCTTGAGTATAGTCAGAGGGAAATCACTGGAGGCTCATTCCATGTGTAGATCCTACAAATGTATTTTGGGTTTCCACTGCCATCCAAAGCCTTCTGCAAACCAGAATTTCACAATTTAAGCTCTGTTACCATTCTCTCAGATTTGGATTATATTATTTATAGCCCTTGGATCACAGGCTGGTGTGCTTCTTTCATGAAGGCACATGTTGAGCAGGACCATTAGTTTGTAAGAACTAATTGTTCTTAGATTGGCACTAGTATTAAGTGTGAGCCCAAAATCCATTCCTATAGCTATGTTTTATATATGCTTCTGTAGAGACATCTTTGTTATTTTATATTAGAGAACATTATCAATCACCTTCTTGGAACATAAGGTCCTTACATTTATACTGTCATTGATTTAGCCCATGGTCATATAATCCCGATTTTCTTGTGGATGATCCTGATAGCTTTGGGTTTTATTTTTAGGTCTCTGATCCATTTTGAGTTCATTTTTTTGTGCATGGGGTGAGGTATAGGTCTTGTTTCATTCTTTTGCAGATGGAGATCCAGTTTTTCCAGCACCATTTGTTGAAGAGGGCACCTCCTTCCCATTTAGTGTTTCTTGGTCCTTTGTCAAAAATCAGTTGTCTGTAGGTGAATGCTTTTATTTCTGGGGTTTCTGTTCTGTGCCATTGGTCTATGTATGTATCATTATACCAGTACCAGGCCGTTTTGACAAATGTGGCTTTGTAGTAAGTTTTGAGGTCAGGTAGTGCAAGAACACCTACTTTGTTCTTCTTTTGAGAAGTTCTTTGCTTATCCTGTGCCTATTCGCTCTCCATATAAAATTGTTAATTCGTTTTTACATTTCTTTAAAGAATGGTGTTAGCATTTGGATTGGGATTGCATTGCATTTGTAGATTGTTTTAGGTTGTATTGACATTTTTACAATATTGAGTCTTCTATCTATGAACACGGGATATTCTTCCTTTTGTATAGGTCTCTTTTAGTTTCTTGTATTAGTGTTCCGTAGTTTTCTCTGTACGGGTATTTTTGTTTCTTTGGTTAGGTTTATCTCTACATATTTCCTGGGTAATAGGATCCAATAACCTCTCTAAAAAGAATAATACATCATGACCAAGTGGGATTCATACAAGGGATGCAAGGATGGTTCAACATTTGAAAAAACACTTAATTTTATCTACCACATAAGCAATATAAAAAATAAAAACCACATGATAACATCAATCTATGCAGAAAACATTTGACAATATCCAATGCCCATTCCTAATAAAACCACTCAATAAGATAGGAATAGAAGGGAAATTCCTCAACATAATAAAGGCCATATATGGAAGGGGGAAAAAAGGCCAATATCACATTCTATGGGGAAAATCTGAAAATATTTCCACTGGAAAAGGGTATCAGACAAGTATGCCCTTTATCACCACTCTTATTCCACATTGTGCTGGAAGTCCTAACCAGAATCATAAGACAATAAGAAATTCAGGGAATAACTTGAGCAAAGAAGAAGTGAAATTCTCACTCGGCACAGACCAAGAGCTCCACAAAAATATTGTTGGAAACAATTGAGGAATTTAGTAAAGTAGCAGGATACAATATTAGCCAATATTAACCAGCAGAGATCACTTGGACTCCCACATACCAGGGAGAGACCTTTGAAAAAGAGCCAAGAAAACTAACGTTCACAACAGTGATACAAAATCAACTACTTATATATACAAGTACTCATTTGAGCTTGGTAATAATCCATGTGGTCTCACTCACTGCGGTTGAGTTTCTGACTCATAGCAATTGTAGGACAAAGTACCATTGCCTTTGTGGATTTCTGAGGCTGCAACTTTTTAAGGGAGTAGAATGCCTAATCTTTTCCCCAAGGCGCTCTTAGTGGTTTCGAACTACTGACCATGCAGTTTTCAGTCAAGCTTGTAAACCAGTAGCCACAAGGGCTCCAACCTATGAGGTAGATACTATGATTATAATACCATTTTGTAGTTGAGGATACTAAAGTACTGACTAATGATTGACTCACCTTAAGTCACCAGGCTGAAAGTGGTAGGGGCTGGGATCTGAACCCAAGAAGACTCTCTCAGGCTTTGTTTTCATAGCTTTTATGTTGTGTTACTGCCTTGTAAATAAAGAATGTAGTTCTCCTGGAGTTAAGTAATTTCCCCAAGTTATGCACTTGGAATTTGAACCAAGGTGTGAGGAAAAGGGACTTAGACACAGTAAGAAATTTCCAGTGAACCTGAAAATCCATGCTGTAGGGAATTACATTTTCACAGAGGACAATAACCTGGCTGATGATGGTGGGAAGTCTATGCCTCACACTTTAGTCTTTGGGTCTGTATATAGCCAGATGTGGTCAGCTGGATGTGAGGGGGCACACAGGATACTGCTGCTGTATATACCTTATATGGCTTGGGGAAGTGTGGAGTTTTTCCACCTCTGCTGATAAACTGTCTGAAACTGTTTATCTTATTTATCTAGTGCTAATATAAAAGAAATACAGAGTGAGTGGCTTCAAGAAACAGAAGTTGATTTTCTCAGTTTAGAAGGCTGGAAGTCCAAATTTAGGGTGCTGGATATAGGGGAATGTCTGTCAAGTTTAGTAGAAGGTCCTTGATTTTTAATTCCTTGATGATTTTCACGAGGCATGAAAATCTCTGCTTGGTTCACCATGTCTAATCTACTCCCCCCACCCCACCTCTAACCATTTTATAGGGATCTCTTACAGATATCATTCCATAGTTCTATCACATCAAGCAGTATTGTACAATTGCTACTACAGTTTCAAAACATTTTCTTTCTTCTTGAATTCCTTGATATCAGCTCCCATTTACCCCACCCCCACAATGCCCCCATGAACCCTTATTCAACTTATTATTTGTATAGGCTTATCAACCCTGGGTTTCATGTGCTGAAAAACAGAAACATATGTAACTAAAATTCAAGTGGGTTATTCCCAATGACAAAATACATCAGAGATAAACCCCAATATGAGAAAAAAAATGAAATGGAAAAAACAAACAACAAAAAAGCAAACAGAAAATGTTGTAAACCAGATCAGGCCCAGTGTCTATCAGAAGAGGGATCAAGGGACAAACTTTTAACAGTTCAAGCCAGGTTTATAGTCTCATAGTCATCTCT